GCTACTAATCTCATAATCCTTTAGTTTTATATTGACTTTTTAACAAGTTTTCTTAGGGTATAAGATTAAAATATACATATATATTTATATATTAAACTTTTTGCCATAATATTAATGGTAATATAGAATACTAATTCTAGAAAAAGTTTCATCTATCTTACTGTAAATGATTTCAAGTTTGAGTACTATCAGTTTTCTGCAGTGAACCATTAGCACGCCTAATAGCAACCTTTGAAGTCTCCAAAAGGAGGATGAGGCCCCACAATGATGATTTCTCCAAGACCATGATAGCACCACTAAGCTGAAAAACACCATCTAAAGATTGATTTTGTAGTACAAACTACTCAGAACAATGTTGAGGTGGCTACTTAGATGATCCAGTCTAATGGGACTTTAAACAAGCCCTGCACTTTCCTCTTGCACAGAGACTGGATACAAATAACACCTCTCCCAGGATTTAACAATTAACCCGAATTTTTCTTTTCAGGATCCCCTAAAGATACTGTTGCTCCCTAGACAGCAGGAAATAATTTTTAAGAATACTATGCCTACATTTCCAAGAGGTGGGATGTGTGGTTTTTGGTTGCTCAGTGGTTTATGGATATTTGTCATTATTTAGGGGAGTTAGTTACCAGTTGTTATTGGTTATAGCCAGGAGGAAAGTTGAACAAAGGAGATTATTCAGAGTTCTTGTTTTGGAAAGAGAAAAGGGGATATGGATATGATATGATAAAAGGGTAGAATCTATTTTGAAAAGAAAAAAGGGAGGATATAGATATGATAAGATAAAAGGGTAGATTTATTGAATCTACTTTTAGAAAGCAATTACTAGTTTTAAATGTTTTACATTGGATTGGACTTTTGTATATTGTATACAAATTTTGTATCTTGATACAAATTTGAGATTAATTTTTTAATAAAACATACTGTATACACGTTTCTAATCTTATTCAAGGTATTTCTAATCTTATTCAATGTACCTGTATAGCTGATTTAACAATGTAATGCAAATTTCTAGTCCTTGAAAATTATTTTTACCAATTGTTTAGAATACTAACGAAATGCAGGTTGATCACCTATTATAATCAACCTTGTTGTTACTTTAGGTATATTTTCAAGGTGAAACATATATTTTAGATATACAGGTCACATCCAAACACTTCAGAGATTTACAGAATATAGCATTTAAGATGTTTTAATAAAATTTAATAAAATTGTTTTAATTAATAAAATAAAATTTATTTAATTTAATAAAATAAAATATAATTTAATAAAATTATAAAATTTAATAAAATAAAATAAAAAAGGAAAAAATGTTTTTTCCTTTTTTATGACAATGAGACATGTCTGCTCTTGGCAGTACCAATTCACTTCAGAGAAGATAATGGGCTTTGAAAAGAAGCTTCACATGGAGTTTACTGTCTTTCTGTGCATCACTGGGCAAGAAAATGCCCTTGCCTCACCTGCTGACAGTATGCTGTCCTAATTGGACAAGCAAGACACAACAGAGAGTGACTGCCATACACTGTCAAGACAAGGCGGGACAGCCCTTCAGAATATCCTGCTGCATAGGAAGGCATCCTGTCTGATATTGTAGGCCTATAGGCCAAAGATTGTCCAAAGATGTTCCAGCATTGCTGAGAAACTTCAGGTGACTGTCCAGGGAGCCAGCTGTTTCTGTCATTTCTCAGATTTTTTGAAGTCACTTGCTTGCAGTTCCTACTTTTTCAGTTAATAATGGTTTCAGAGGGAGTTGAAGACTTGATAGTTATGGTTTTCCTTGTTTTCCTGATGCAGAATTCAAGTTATAATAGAAAGTAAGTTAGGTAACTTCACCAAGATACGATAGATAATGGAATTTTTTCTCTGAATTTGTCCAATGCAAATGAACTAGACATTGTTGATGTATTTATTGCCTGTATATATTGTATATAGTTATTGTACTTACTATATAGCTTTTCTTATTTTAGTTATTGCCTTCTTTTTTTAATTTTTAGACAAAAAAGGGAAATGTGATATTTTATTTGTTTTTTAATAAATCTTGTCTAAAGAACAGAACACAAAACAGCCTCACTAATCAGTCATAGGAGCTGGGTGGTGCTGCACACTTTTAACCCCAGCACTAGAGATACGTATATGGTGTGATGGACAGGAACTCGTTCTCTTTCAGTCTGAAGGTTTCAAAGCTCTCTAGCGGCTTTTTTGATCTTCAGGTTGAACCTCAGTATCTGCCTCTGGGTTTTTATTAATCATGCTACGGGAGAATTTGCTGGCTAACTAGGCAGTTAAGGGCCACTCCAAGAATGGTGTAAAGTGATAGAGGGCCAGTGAAGGGCCGGGCGCATGGGAGTAGATGGTGGACATGGACATGTTTGCAGCTCACCTTTATGGCCAGAGCCTCTTGAAGTCATGGTTTGGGTTTGATTTGTTGCTAGATACCGCCCTGGGGCCTTAGGACAAGTTGGAATCATCAGTGGGTAATTGGGTGGGCACCTCACACAAGTCTCAGTGTCCTTGATCCAGCTTACCTAAGCCTCCTTGGACAGCTCCTCATGTATCAGAAATCTTGTTTCGATGTGTTTAGGTTCTTGTGTTCACAGAACAGCACAGACAGCTCATTGTTTTGGGTTCCTTTTTATCAGGCATTAGCCATTGCAACCACCAATAGATGTTTGTTACAAACACCTCAATAGAAATTCGGGGGAAAAGAGAGAGGGGAACAGTAAAGAGGAAAAGCCACACAAGTCTCACTAGTCACGCTGATAGGTTACTAGTTAGAGCCCCTTGGCACCTGCTCTTAAATGGGCTGTTTTCCTTGTTAAAAAGTACTTCTATGTTAATCTGTGGTCTTCTTCATACCCCCTCTCAGAAGAAAGTTGTTATGCACATTCTTTAAAACAAACGAAAGGGGGCTGGAGAGCTGGCTCACTGTGTAAGAGCACTGGCTACTCTCTTCCAAAGGTCCTGTTTCAATTCCCAGCAACCACTTGGTGTTCACAACCATCTGTAATGAGATCTGGTGCTCTTTTCTGGCCTGCAGGCATACACACAGGCAGAACACTACATACATAAAACAGCAAAACCAAACCAAACCATTCAGATAGTTGAGGAGACTCAACCCCAGTGGAGGGGAGTGGTGTCCCTTGGTTGTCAGGTAAAACCACTGATCTTGGCCCCTACACTGGTTTTCTTTTTCTGATGCCGCTGTTTTCCTCAGCATTATGATTAGTTACTAGCCTCTCCGTTTGTGCGCCTTCCGTACTGTTGTACACTTCGACCCTACCCCTTATTCATCCCTGTTCAGGTGCTGTCTTGCAGAAGCACCCTACGTTTCTCTGCCACCACCTTCACCCACACAGGCTTTGTCATCTAAAAGGGGAGTGCTTGGTGGGCCAAGAATTTGCAATTTGTTTGTGTCCAGTTACTCTTCTCTGAAAGCATGAGCACCAGGCATCTTCATGAAGTGGGTTTGTGACTGTTGTATATTCTGTGACACCTAAAATCATGCCTGGCTCATCGTGGACCGCGAGCTTATGCCCTTGGGCTGTGTAAGGGGAGGAGTGGTGTGATTGGCGGTTTTGAACATTCCTAAAGGCTTGTGGGAATCGGATTTGCCCTCTTCCTGGTTGTTACTTGGGTCTGTGCCTTCTGGAAATCAGGCCGCTTCTGTCTATACAGACTGTGTGCTAAGGGGTGATAAATGCTTTTAATATTTCCCAAGTTTCCTGCCCTGCGATGAGTTCTGCAGTCTCACAATCTGCAAAGAAGGGTTGGAAAAGGAAGCTGGAGAAAGAAGGGAGCCAGGAAGAGGAGCCTCAGGGACTGCTGGGTGCACCTAGTTGACTAAGGTTTTTGTGTTATTGCTTGCTTACCCCTCACTTTGGCGTCTGTGTGCCCGCCCGCCTCATGCTGCACAGCTGAAATTTTCTGCGTCTATCTGAGCTCAGGGATACGGTGTCAGTGGCCATTCCTGGCTTCAGGAGAAGCAGCGTGACCGTGCCTGGGGCATATGGAAGTGATGACGTCGTGGCCTGAACTCCTGGTCCCCATCAAGTGTGTTCGCATTGGGTCTCAGCGTGACACTTGCCCGTTAAACACCAGGCTCCTTGCACATGGTTTTCCCCGACATCCTCCTTGTTAAGTGGAAACTTTAGCCATGTGGTTAAAATACTTTCCCATCATTTAGCACTTCAGAATCAACTTATTTTGGAGAACTCCCCAATTAATACCGAATGGCACATTTGCAGATTATTAAAGAAATATTTAAACAGAGTCGGTAGACCTGGCCAGCTGACCTAGAGCAGCCCTTTCTTAGGAGGAGCAGCTTTGGGCTTAGGAAGAAGCAGGGTCAATGGGAGGATCTGGAGCTTCCTCTATGGCTGTTGTATTTAGAGTGGCAAGTCTGGTGGAGTTGTTACCCTACTATTAACGCTGCAGATGGCTAATGGCCACATCACCAAGAGTTAAGAGTTTGAAGTTTTAAAGTTTCTTCTTTTATGACCAACCCTGTGTATTCCCAGCATAGATATGGAGACAGTGAAGAATTGTCTCATTAAAAGTAATGGCTATTCCCATATTCATTTCCAGTCTTGGAATGAGAACTTGTTTCCGTAGACTTGAAGAATTGCCTATCTGTCTTGCCTTACTAGAGCTGTTCTGCTAGCCGAGTTTTATAACCAATCAGGTTCCAATTGGAAGGGCTCCATCTGGCAGCCCTGGTCTCTGTCCTAATTTTACTGCTAATGAATTACCTAACCCGTAAGCATGGACCGGTCTGTTCTGTTGTCTTGGGGGAAAGAGTGCCCAAGATCCCTAGCGGGTAGGAATCCCTTGGACTGGAGAGTGTTTGGAGTAGGGGTGGGTGGGTCATGGAACAGTGCAAGGAGTAGGAGCTGATCTGTAGGACTGGCATGACCCTGGGCCTCTGCAGTGCTTTGCTCATTTAGATGCTGGGAAAGTAAGTTGGCTTCACTCTGCATCATGTTCTCATTTTCCCACAGGGAGTGGGGCTGGCCAGCAGAAGCAGCGGGCTGTACAACATCACCTTCAGATATGACAGTAAGTAACTGGCCTGACTGCAAAGAAGTCAGGCAATTGCGTTCAGAAATCCAGAGTTCACACACTTGTGCTTCATCAAGGATACCACAGATCCTGGGATTAGGAGTTTTCTGAACCTGTTTGGGTTTGTCAACAGTTAAAGCAGCTCAGTTTCTATTTAGCCCCTGAAGTGTTTGGGAGCTTGAACAACAAACAGGTCAAGTGTCTTCCATGCTTTTCAGAAAGTTCTGCTGTGAAGACTTGCCCTTGGGACACAGCCTTGTCTTTAAGAACAAACACAGATGTCAGTAGGGGACCCCCATTGGGGAATGGAGTGAATTTACCCAAGGGTAGGCCTGGAGGCAAGGATGGAACCTGGCAAACTGGGCAGCCTCTCTGGTCTGAAGGGGCCACTGGTTTCTTAATTCCAACTCATTGTGGTCTTGTAGAATTCCCATTGGGTGTAGCCAGATGTGGTTCCTAAGACTAGCCAGAAGTTCTAAGAATAAACATTGCGCCCACAGTTTTCTACTTTGTACAATATGGATGTTGAATTAGTTGTTTACCCCCCAGGTCTATTCTGTAGTTCCCTTCTGTACTCAGTGAGCATGCATTATTTTGAGGGTATATCTTTTTTCTTTTTTCCATTTTCATGTGTGTTGTCGGAGTCTGGTGCTAGCCCCGACCATAAATTATTTCTCTACCAGACCCCAACATAAATTATCTCTCTCTGGACCAGCGTGGAGGAGATGGGAATAAAGACATGACTCACATAGTTTCATCGGGAGGGAGATTCCCAGAGGTCCCTCATGATATCTTGAGTTCACATCCTGAAAATTTTCTTTTTGTTTTTTCTCCAGTCTTTATACCAAAACTTAACTTTGGAGAAATACATTAGCATTCTATCTCCGAGGTAACCAGATGAGTGCTTTTTGTCATGTCGGCACCTACCTATCTGTTCTGTATGCTAGCTGTCACATAGGGTTGAATTAACATCTCTATCAGGCATTCTCCAAATTACAAAGAAAGGAGCAAAACCACATCCTGTCCCTTTGTTAGGTTAGTGACAGCCTGTCTGGAAGTTTATGTGACCTTTTTCAGGTGTGGTCTATGACTTGATAGCTTGGTTGCCACACCATATAGAAATATGGGCCCACAGTGTGTATACCTGTATACATGATTGCATGTGTGTGGGCCCACATGGGTGAAGATGCGTGTGTGTGTGCGCGCATGCGTGGGGTTGATTGTGTGCATGGAGACTGGAAGTTGATATCAGAATCATAGTAGATTACCCTTCCACTGTATTCACTGAAGCGGGATCTCAGTCAAACCCAGAGCTTGCTGCTGTGGTCAGTCCCTATAGCCTGCTTGATCTGGGAATCCCCCGTCTCTGCTTCCCAAGGCTGGAATTGCAGTGGAGCCACCATGCCCACGTGGTCTGAATTTCCAGTCCAAGTACTTGTAGACCAGCAGTTTAGCCTCTCAGCTTCCTCTCTAGCCCAAGAGTCATGTTTTAGTCCATGTAGAATTTAAAACTATGAACATCCTTCTAAGTAATATTGACATACCAGTCAAATTTTTTTAAGACTTGAAGTGTAAGAAGGGGATCATACCTAATGTGCTTAGGCAAAAAAAGCCGCGTATAGGCATTGCAGAATCTAGAGTCTGAAAAGTTGGATGTGTAGGTAGCGCACAATTGTATTTCAGTAAGAAGGAGGGAGAAGAAGATGATTAAACTGAAAGGCTTAGGGGGCACCCTTTGGACTCTACCGCATTACCTGTGTGCGGTGAGAGCATGGGTGACTTTTGCATTGTTCTTTATCCCTTCGTGTTTTCAAATGCCTCCAGCAAACGTGTTTCATTATAAACATGGGACATGAGCACAGCTTGCAAGGGGGAGAAATGCAGAGACTGACTAATCTCCTTAGAAACGTCTTTCACACAGGAAATGCCCTTGCTCCTCTGGGTGCAGGTAGACATGTGAAGGATCTTTGCAGTAGGTACAGAAGAGGGATCCAAGTTGAGTCATAAGAAAGAAATGGAGATGAGGTAATGTGAACACCCTGAGTTGATATCTCCTGGGAAGCCAGTAAACAGGTCTCCCAGCAAGGGTGTCTGCCGTAGTGTGTGGTGGGTCTCTTAAGTTCCGGCAGGATTCTGCCTCCAAGCTTATGGCAGGTTTTGAAGGTGTGTTAAGCAGTACCAGGTGATACAGCTGCTCACTTGTGATGGCTACATTGACACTGTCAGACAAAAATAAAATGTTTTTTTTTTTTTGAGCTATTAATTTGGGGGTTTGGAGATTTAATGAGGGTTGTCTTGGAGAATGTTAGCTGTCATCCCCGTCACCCAAACACCTTGTATTACAGATACCCATCATTTAACAGTTTGCTTGTGAAATTGCTCCCTGCAGATTCACGCCCACATGTTAGTTCCTTTTCCCCAGAGACTTGCCCTCTTGGCCTCTAAAAACAAACACACTCCACAGCTCCACAGGTGGTCACTCCTTCATGCTGGAAACTTGTAGAGCTGATGCAAGTTCTTAGGGACTTCAGTAAACTGTCAGAGGAGTAAGAGAGGGGTAAGGAAAGAAACAAAGCTAATGAGAGACACAAAGTCTACCCTGTGTCCCACAGTCCTAGCAATGTCCAGGAGTTTACTTCGGGAGAGGAGGCGTGTCTCTGTTGCTGCAGATGCATCCCTCTGTAATGTATTTCCCAAGCCATAATCAACTTTACTGTCTTATTTGAGCTTTTGAGGACATTTGTTTTTCTTTTTCTTTTTTCTTTTCCTCCCCCAGGACAGGGTTTCTCTGTGTACCTTTGGAACCTGTCCTGGAACTTGCTCGTAGACCAGGCTAGCTTCAAACTCTACCTCCCGAGTATTGGGATTAAAGACAATGTGCCACCACTGCCCAACTTGAGGACATTCTTACTAAGAGTGGTTTTGGGACCTGTAGACATACTCTTCATAGTCTGTTAAGACGAAATTGAAAATAAAGGTTAAAAGCTTAAACTGTGCTCATTTCCCCACCTCTCTAGACTGTACGACCTACTTGAATCCAGTTGGGAAGCACATGATAGCCGATGCCCAGAACATCACAATCAGCCAGTATGCTTGCCGTGACCAAGTGGCAGTCACGGTTCTTTGGTCCCCAGGGGCCCTTGGTAAGTGGTAGCACTCATTTCCTCTGTGGAAATGGATGGTATAGGGTGAGTGGCCATGTGTGGTGGCCTCCAGGCAAGCGGCCGTTGATGACAGTGAAGCTAAGAGCGGAGTGGACACGGAGTGGACGCGGCACACTGTGCTTTGTCTCCTGCTGCCAGGCACGCGTGCACGTGCACACACCCACCCACACACAGCTTAAAGCAGTGCCCAAGGCCTGTGTTTTGTTTCCTTGTTTTAGAGAATTGTGAGTTTGAAAAGATAATGTATTGGTGATTATTATTAATTATTTTTACTTTTAGACAGGGTTTTACTCCGAAGCCCAGGTTGAATGGCTTTGGCTTCCACTACACGTGGTTTCTGTGGTCACAATGATGTGTGGGCCCACCTTAGGCACATTTTGTGTTTTTGTTTTTAACATTTTTTTTTGGTGATTTATTTAACTTTAGTTAATGTGCAAGGGTGTGAAGGTGTCAGATTGCCCAGGAACGGGATTTACAGACACTTATGAGCTGCCATGTGGTTGCTGGGAATTGAACTCAGGACCCCTGGAAGAACAGTCAGTGCTCTTAACCTCTGAGCCATCTCTCTAGCACCCTAACCTAAGATTCTTTAACTTTATTGAATGAATTTGATTGGCAAAATTTCTTTTTGTTTAACTTTTGTTTTTTTTTAGACAACATCTCATGTATCCCTGGCTGACCTCAAACCCACCATGTTGTTCAGGATGGCCTCCAAATCCTGATCTTCTTGCCTTCACTTCAAGAGCATTGGCAGTAGACGTGTGGCCCAGCACACTCAGCAGCTCCCTCTTGTCTTCTGAGACAGGATCTTGCTATGTAGCCCACGCTGGCCCTTCTGCTCACTGCTCACCATGTGTCCTGCCGTAGCCTCCCAAAGGCTGGGTCCTCTGTGTGCTGCCATACTTGGTTGGGATTGGCCTTTCACAGGAGGCATTTAGCCTGGAGGCCCAGCTTCCCCTCGTGCCAAGCGGGGGTGGCGGTGACCAGAGAAAGCTGTCTGAGGGCAGCTGCTGTTGTCATCAGAGCCTGCGTCCCAACCCTACACTGTCCCTCCGACTTTGCAGCATTTGTCCAGGGAGAAGTAAAATAAAGCCAGATTTCTCCCCACCCCTTTTTAAAATATTTATTTATTACGCATACATAATTCTGTCTACGTGTATGCCTGAAAGCCAGGACACCAGACCTCATTACAGATGGTTTGAGCCACCATGTGGTTGCGGGGAATTGAACTCAGAATCTTTGGAAGATCAGGCAATGCTCTTAAGCCCTGAGCCATCTCTCCAACCCCTCCCTTTTTTTTTTTTTTAAAAAATCTTTTTATTTTATGTATATTGGTATTTTGCCTGCATGTATATTTATTGGGAGGGAATCAGATTCCCTAGAACTGGGGTTACAGATAGCTGTGAGCTGCCATGAGGGTGCTAGGAATTGAACCTGGGTCCTCTGGAAGAGCAGCCAGTGCTCCTGATTGCTGAGCCATCTCTCCAGCCCCAAGCCTAGATTTCTTAATCTGATCAAGAATAAATCTCAGAATTACAGTGAGGTAGTGAGTGTAAGGGAGAGAGAAGATGGAGGTGTTGGGCCATCTTGTCTGTCCACATGAATACCTCTGGGTCTAAACTTTGTGTTTTTCAAAGGCAATTTTATCTTAACATTTAAAGATTAAAAATATTCTCTAGATAAAAGAAGTGGTCATTCCATTTCAGGCTTAAATGACTGATTCTTGAGCTGGCTAACTGCAGACTCCCTCTTTAGAGAGCAAGAGGCTAGTGGTGGGAAGAGGGTGATGATTTATGGTGGGGTGAGGCTCCTCAGAAGTCAGGAAAGCCCGTGGATTAAGGGCAGTGACCGAGAGCTCAGCACTTCCTGGCCCATCCTTTGCTCACCACGTGACCCCAGGGCCCAGTCAGTTTCTCTAAACCTTTCCTCAGCTGCAGATGGTAATAATGGTACCTGCCTCCCATGTTTGTCGCTAATAGCCAGTGTGGGAGTGTGTTTCTCCAGCGTCACGTGGTCCTCACGCAACCTCACGGTGTTCACAGCTCAGGGTAGATGTTTATTAGTTATTAAGTTTGTTGCCTCAGTCTCCCCTCAGCCCATATTTGGCATTACGATTTTCAATCATCTATAATTTTCAGTCTGACCTTTGAAAAACAAAACCCAGGTCTATCCATCTGTGTTTACCCGAACTGATCAGTTTTTAAGTCATTGGGGGAGGCTTGCCTTTATTAATTTTACAAGCCACCTGCCTTTTGTTAAACAATCTTTCTGGAAGCAGCACATGAATCAAATCATGGTTTTTAAGTAGTAAAGATCTGTTCAAACATTGTTTCTTTTTCGATCTTAAAAGGCAAGCTCCTGTGAGAGCCAAATACTTGGTGCTGCGGAGTTGTGTGTGTTTGCATCTCCGTGGATCCACTCTCTCCCCACAGGAAGCTTTGTGATTGAAAATGCCGTGCACTGTAGCACTACCAGCTTCTACAATACGAGGCTTTAATTGTGGCCTCTCTGCCCAAGCCACCATGAAATATGTGCTCTTCATCAAATAATTACAGAATTGGAGAACCTGCTCAAAAGAGAGAAAGATTTCTGTGACCTTTGCCATCAATAATTTCCCCACCTGGTTAATTGCATCCTGTGTAATTACTTTTGGCCCGGGAGGGGAAGGGTTGAAAATGTCTCCTTGTCTGGTGTTCAGAAAGAATGTGAAATCGATATCTTGACAATCAAGGTCAGCTTTGCGGATCTCCAGCTGCACTTGGTCCACTCCAGCCTCCATGGGAGACAGAGCCCCATTGCTGGCTCCCGTGGCCCTCAGAGCTTAATCCTTTTGAAAGCATCTAGTCAGATGTGCAGTGGGAGGGAGCTCAGGTGGGGAGGCTGGGCCGGCGCCTTTCAGTAGCACTGTGGGCGGCTCGGGGCCTCCGAGGGCTCTGTGCAGAGCACACACTGGGCAGCCCTTGGCTATCTGCATTTCAGGCATGATTAGGGGAAGATCGCATTCCCCTAAAATAGTCTCCAGCCTATGAACCCTCTTGGGTGCAGACATACACTTTGTTGGGAATTTTGTATAAGTTCCCAGTGAAATTTGAGATTAAAAACAAAGTTTGGCGGCATTCACTCGGAATTATTGTTAGCTCAGTGTGCCTGCAATTACACATTCCATTATAGTCTTTGTGATCGGTTTAGACTTGAGCCTAAATATTGAATCCAGGTGTCACAAAAGCAATAGATATTTTGTCCCAATGGCCGAGTGTTCTAGAGAATGTATTGGGTACAGTGATAGCGATCACTCAACCTGTCCCAGAGGAATGAGCGAAGGTTGTGCATTCGTGAACTCACTGGCAGAGGAGACATCCTTTAGCTTTGGTGTGTAGCTGGGGAGGATGTGACCTTGGAGGAGGGAAAGTGCGTTCAGAAGTGATTAGGCCTGCACTTCATAAAAGCCTCTGCTTTCTTAGGCATTGAATTCCTGAAGGGATTTCGAGTAATACTGGAGGAGCTGAAGTCAGAGGGAAGACAGTGCCAGCAGCTGATTCTAAAGGACCCGAAGCAGCTCAACAGTAGCTTCAAAAGAATGGTAAGTCACTCACGAGGAATGGGCTCCAGAAGACACCATTGTTCTGGAGGTCTGAATGGTCTATTGAAAGTCTGAAATTGGAGAGTTGGGGGGCGGCTATGGGGACTACAGCCCAACCAAGGTGGCCAAGAATAGGAAGCAGCTAGCCTGCCACACACCCAGGAAAACGCTTCAGCAGGGCTCAACTGTGGTAACCACACCTCTCTGGTTCCACTGAAGCAGCGACTGTCTCAGAAGTCTGTGAGTGCATCCTTCACCCCCTCCAGCTGTGAGGCTCAGTACTAAGGTGCCGTGGCTTTCTTGTCTACAAATAGACAGCACCGTCCATTTTAACATCGGTGATCCCAGCGCAAGCTCAGTCCATCAAGTAGACCTGACTGTCTGCTTTCCTGGGTTCCACTAGGCTCTGGAATTGTGTCTAAGTGGCAGTCAGTGTGGGCTGGTCTTTTGTGGGCGGGGGTGGGCTGGACAATTCCTCTTCGCTATATGTATCTTTGTTCCCTTTTAGGGAATGGAATCTCAGCCTTTCCTGAATATGAAATTTGAAACAGATTACTTTGTCAAGATTGTCCCTTTCCCCTCCATTAAAAATGAAAGCAATTACCACCCTTTCTTCTTCAGAACCCGGGGTGAGTATGCTCTTTCCTGCCTGTCTCCCAAAGGACTCATTTCTGCTTCCGTTGGTTTCTCCGCAGACATGTTTACACGCACACCATATACTGATAGGGAGTAAGCAGGGTGAGAACAAATTCACATTAAAAAAAAATGGGGTGAGGTCTCTCTACAGTCTACTGCTCTGGAATTTAACAGGTAGCCCAGGTTAGACTAAAACTCATGTCAGTCCTTCTGCCTCAGCCTCACACATGTTAGGATTACAGGCCTGAGCCACTCTACCAGCTCAGAAATGTGTTCTCAAAAATAAAGGCTAAGGCTGGAGAGATGGCTCAACCCTTAAGGGCACAGGCTGCTCTTCCAGAGGACCTGGGTTCCCAGCAACCCCGTGGCAGCTCACAACTATCTGTAATTCTGGTTCCAGGGGATCCTGTGCCTTCTTCTGACCTCTGTGCACTCCAGAACACACACGTCCACTGACACACATGCAGCAAAAACACCCATACACATAAAATAATAAAAAGAAAATGAGTAAATAAGGTTAGCAGGTTGCGGCTGTAGCCCAGGGTTGGAGTACCTGCCTGCCATGTGCCGGGTTAGCAGTTATTCCTAGATGTGGGGCACATGCCTGAAATCTCAGTGCTCAGGAGGGAGAAGGAGGAAGAGGACTGCAAATCCGGGGACAGTTTGACCTATGTAGACAGGGCTGTGTAGCAAGATCCTCCCTTTGCTTTGTTTTAGGTCAGGTGTGATGGTTTATTTACATATTGTTTTTCATTTGTTTATTTATTGAGATACGGTCTTAAACTGCAGAGTAAGAAGACCATGTCTTCTTATTCTATAACCTAATTATATAATTAAGGCTGGCCTCAAGTTTATGACGATCCTACTGCCCCTGCCTCCCAGTGGGGTTACAAGCATGTGCTGCCATGCCGGGTGACAGTTGCTATTTAAAAATTTTTTTATTGTTATTAATTAATATTTATTATTATTATTTTTTGAGATAGGCTTTCTCTGTATAGCTCTGGCTGTCCTGGTTCTCACTATGTAGACCAGGCTAATCTTGAATTCACAGGAATACACCTGCCTCTGTCTCCCAAGTACTAGGATTAAAGGTGTGCGCTGCCATGCCTGGCTAAATTATTTTTATTTTGTGTACATGTGTACGGGATGAGGCAGGTGCCATGGTGTGTGTAGGTATATATAGACACCATGGTGTGTGTGTGTGTGTGTGTGGAGGTCAGAGGATAACTTGAGGGAGTTGGTCTTTTCCTTCTGCCATCTGGGTCCTAGGGATCAAACTCGGGTCATCAGACTTGGTGGCAGATGCCTTTACTTGCCTGGCCATTTCTCCAGCCCACCACTTGTCTTTTGACAACACTGTGATCATTAATGCATCATGTATAAAAGCAGTGTGATATTTGTTGGCGGGTATGATTTTTGTAATCTGCCTGTAGCGTACTTGCCTAGCTTGCGCAAAGCTCTGATCTTAAAAAAAAAGGGCAGGGGGTGATTTAAAAACAAACAAAAACACAGCCTGGGAATAAAAAGTATGAGCTTATTTTTGAAGTGAAGGGCCAAAAGATAAAATGTTATAATAGCGTAAGGATGGTTAGGGTGAGATTAGAAAGCTTTGTCTCAGGCTGACAAGGTGACACAGGGACCCACGTGCCAGCAAGCCTGATCACTTGAGTTCAGTTCACAGGATCCACATGAGAAAAGAGAGAACCAGCTCCCCAAAGTTGTCCCCTGATGTTCTAACTTCCGCATGTGGGCTGTGGCATGCATGTGCTCCACATACAAAATAAACAAATGTAATTTGAAAAATCCACCCCCAAGACCACTTTTTTTTCTAGAAAACTTCACTAAATTAACATTAAAGTTTATTCAGTCTCATTTGAAATGCTTTCTAAGTAAATATTAGTGCATTCCTCCTCTGTAATAATCTTTTGAAAAAAACGCCCTCCCCCGCATACATTTAACACACACAGGGAAGGCTTTGCTGGGAGTGGGGCATTGTGCACTAGAAGCCCAGTTCCAAAGCCCACACTGCCAGCTACCAACCTGCTGGCAGTCCAGGTGTCCTCCTTTCTCACTTATTCGGGATGTAGCTTTTCTCATATCCCCGAATGGCTGCTTTTAAATTTGGTGGCTAGTCACCATGAGACCTTCAGTGGCTTCCTTCTGCCCTGGTCATGCTTCTCATCTGGGGTTCTAGGTCTTGGAATGGCCAGTTACCTGTCCAGGTTGGCACCCCCTTGCCTGGCTTCATTGTTTTCCTCATTGGTGAGATGTTTGGTTTCGGCCCTAACCTGTATCCATGTTCCTTTTTGTCAAGTCTTTGTTTGTTTTTTGTTTTCCGATACAGGGTTTCTCTATGGTTGAGATGTTTTACTCCTTTGACTTTTGCCCCCCCCCCCCCAGCTCCCAAATAAATTACACATGGAGGCTTATTCTTACTTAAGAATGCCCAGCCCTAGCTTGGCTTTTTTCTTGCCAACTTTTCTTAACTTATGGTATCCCACCTACCTTTTGCCTCTGGACTTTGATCTTTCTCTATTTCTGTACGCCTTTCTTTCCTTCTTACTCCGCAACTGGCTGGATCACTGGCCCCTGAAAGCCTCCTCTCCTTGTTCTCTCTTTTTTTGTTCTTCTCCTCTCAGATTTCTCCTATTTATCCTCTCTGCCTGCCAGCCCCACCTGTCCTTGCTCCTGCCTCACTACTGGCCATTCATCTCGTTATTGGGACCGTCAGGTGTTTTAGACAGGCACAGTAACACAGCTTCACAGAATTAAACAAATACAATGTAAACAAAGTAAGTCACACTCCTGAAAATAATATTCCCCAAAACTGTGTAGTTTTGGCTGTCGTGGAACTCCCTCTGTAGACTAGACTGGCCTGGAACTCACAGAGATCCACCTGCCTCTGCCTCCCACCCTGTGAAGTTGTGTTTTTTTTCCTATTGTTGTTTTGTTTTTATTTTATGTGCACTGGTGTTTTGTCTGCATGTATGTCTGTGTGAGAGTGTCGGATTCCCTATATCTGGAGTCACAGACAACTGTGAGCTGCCATGTGGTTGCACTGGGTCCTTTGGAAGAGCAGTCAGTGCTCTTAACTGTGGAGCCAGCCCTCTAGTCCTTTTGTCAAATTCTTAATGAGGTTATTTTCTATGCTGGCAAGTTATTTTGTATGTCTTATTTTCCTCATTAAAATGATATTTATTGGGTCAAGACCATGGGCATGTTACATCTGTTGTTGCTTTCATCAGATCGAAGACTCAAAGAATGTGTTTTTGAAAAATCGTGCCTAAAAATTAGAGTGTAGGTGAAGGTTGAAATAACATCTGTGTGGCTACCGGAGTCCCCTCAAGAGCCCTCTTGTGTGTAGACATCTCCACAGTGGCTCATACCAAGTGACAGAAGGTGCTAGTTATGATGCCTTTGGAACCCTGAAGCCACACAATGTTGGACAAGCTTTAAAAACCACAGTGGCTTTACACGGCTTCCACTTGGGTGGCATGAAATGCTCTGCATTAATATTTGTATGTTTTATCATTTAAAATTTTGTTGAGATACAGCATGATTGTAATGATAATCATTGTTGAATTGATGTTGATGTGATTTGTTACCTTCTCCAGCACACTAGGCCCAGTCCAGTATACATTTGTTCAATAGTTATAATTTGTTTTAGAAGGAAAAACATCTAACCGACCTAAAACTAAAAATCTCTCTCTCTCTCTCTCTCTCTCTCTCTCTCTCTCTCTCTTTAAACAGCCTGTGACCTGCTGTTACAACCTGACAACATGGCCTGTAAGCCCTGTAAGTACAGCTTTCTGTTAGGTCTCCAAGTGTTGCCCCATTATGGTGTTGGGACATGAGGGTGCTTATTGGGTCCTTCCTCCTCACAGTCTGGAAGCCTCGAAGTCTGAATATCACCCAGCACGGCTCAGACGTCCAGGTGTCCTTTGACCATGCGCCACATAACTTCGGCTTCCGTGGCTTCTACCTTCACTACAAGCTCAAGCACGAAGGCCCCTTCCGGCGGAGGACGTGCAAGCAGGTGAGCTTCTGTAAGGAACACGCGTGTTTCAAAGTGACGTCCAGTGGCTGGGGTAGGTGTTAAGCTCCCAGGGTCAGTGGGTGTTAGAGATTGTTTGCCACTGGGGTCATCTCTAGCTGACTTTCCACTGCCCTTGGTTAGCCCCACTTTGGCTGTTTTGGGGTGACACAGAACCAAGGGGTCAAAAGCATAGATCTTTCTAGTTTGTATTATATTTTAAGCATCTACCAGGTGTGTGTGGCAAGCCCAGAGTTTTCTGCTCTTCAGATCCTGACTGCTTCCTTCTATTCCTCCTAGTCATCCTTTGTAGAGGAAAAATCTGGGGCTCAGGAGGTCACCTGATTACTGACAGTCTTAAATCTAGGAAGTGGGAAACAGGTCTTGAGACAAGTCACTAGCAGATCAAGGCCCCTTGGTTTGTTTGTTTTTGCTTGTGCAAACCAGTGGCACATCTCCTTCAGCTTTGGGAAGAAGAGGCCTGAGGCCTTTCCTGAGATGTGAGCATGCATTTGAACTGCTGTCTGCTTCTTTGTAGGACCAGAATTCAGAGACGAGCAGCTGCCTCCTCCAGAATGTTTCTCCAGGGGGTTATGTCATTGAGGTGTGTACAGCCACAGAATGCCCTGTTGTTACTTCCATAGGAAGCAGTTCCCATAAAATTTTGAGTCTTTTGCTTGTTTATTTGTTTTAAGACTGAGTCCCGTGTAGCTCAGGCTAGTCCCAAACTCCCTATGGAGCTGAGGATGACTTTGACTAAACTAACTTGTCCTGCCTCTTCCTCCTGGGATCCCAGACACTCACACAATACTCCTGGCTTTTATGCAGGCCCTGGGGACCAGGTCTGCACAAGTACCTTTACCATGGAGCTGCCTCAGCTCCAGCTTTTAAAACTGCCGCCACTGTTCTCCCTTTGGGCTCCCACTGCCTGGTGATGGGAAAATCAATGACGTAGATTTGTAGACGCGCTGTCACCCGAACAGCGGTAACACAGCACTTTCTGTCCCGCAGCTGGTGGACGACAACAACACAACCAGGAAAGTGGCGCATTATGCGGTCAGACCAGGTAAGCGCTTTGTCCTCCATCTGGTGTCACACTCTAGAGCAGGCTTCTGGTATGTTCTGTGCTCTTCTGCATGGTTTGCCAAACAACACAGTCTCTCTCAAATTCATCAAATGAGCTTCCCTCCACATTCAGGAAGATCAAAGCGTGGCATCTGCTGCAGAGACTAGGCAGTTGTCCTGAGAAGAAAAGCAGTAGGAAAGGGGCTTTCCTTAGGCAGAGTTTTCATGCCCAGGTATTGACTGGCACAACATATTCAGAACTATTGAATTCTTTCCCACAACCGTTTAAAGAACTGTTGGATCCTCTCTTAATAACCACAGCAGACTAGAGTGAGGTAGTTGGGGACCCTGGAACCTGTGGATTGGCTTATGCTTGTGGCTTATGCTTAAAAATGAAAAGGGACCCCCCCCCCCCTTTGAACCTGTTTTGCTGCTCAAGTTTAAGGGCGTTCTCTCTGACTCTGCCAGTGCACTCTCCCTGGGCGGGACCCATCCGAGCTGTGGCCATCACGGTACCTCTGGTCGTCATCTCGGCGTTCGCGACGCTCTTCACTGTGATGTGCAGAAAGAAACAGCAAGGTATCTGTCTCTGTGCCGCGCCCTCTCCTCTCCGCCCTCTAGTGCGTGGCAGGCCAAAGGCGGGGGCCAGCTAAGATGGAGCATGGGAAGCCCTGGTTCCTCCGGGAGGGGCTTGAGGCACCTCATTCTTTCTTGCCAGTTCCTTTGGTAGAAGTTCCCAGAATCCAAATATCTGTCTTGTAGTCTCTAGGACCTGGCAGTGGACAGGCATGTCCTCCAGTTCTCAAACGCAGGAGGTCTGAGGTATGAGCAGAGTCTGATAAGTTAGGTATTTCACCTGGAAAACCGTGGGTGCGCCTTACCTTGGTCAGGGTGGGCTTACCCAGCTGTAAACTTACACAAAAGTCATGAAGATGCCCACTTTAGACTTGTGTCCTTTAAGTTTAAGCATGGTGGCAGAAGCTTGGTATCCCAGCACTTGGGAGGCTAAGGAGGAATTGGAGGCTGACCTGGTGATACAGTGAGACCTTTTGTCAAAAAAAAAAAAGTCATTTTTTTGTTTGCTGATTTGTTTGCTTTGGTACGCTGTACCTTTTTTGTTTTGATATGCTTTACCTTTTTAAGATGGTTGAATGCATTTTTTTAAAAAACTTTTTGGGGGCTGGAGAGATGGCTCAGAGGTTAAGAGCACTGACTATTCTTCCAGAGGTCCTGAGTTCAATTCCCAGCAACCACATGGTGGCTCACAGCCATCTATAATGAGATCTGGTGCCCTCTTGTGGCATGCAAGCATACATGGAAGGAATGTTGTATACATAATAAATTAATAAATCTTAAAAAAAAACTTTTTGATACGCCGCTGCAGAAACTGACTCTTGTTCACAGTGCAACTTGAGGCTGATGGAGTCGGAGACCAGAGACTCCCTAGATGGAGATGTCAGCTGTTCCTTTTGGTAAATTGACATTTGAGATTGGCTCTCATGTAACCCAGGCTGGCCTCCAACTTGCTGTGTAGCTGAGGACGGTCCTGAACTTCTGACCTTTTGGCCTCCGCCTCACAAGTGCTGAGATTTCTGTTGTGGGTCCCTGGGCCCCAGCCGAGCTGCTCATTCCTGAAGACACCGAAACCCAGGTCATGTGGAAAATATAAAGCTTTGTTTATAGGTGTCAACCTTGTCTTCTCTCCCAATTTAGAAAATATATATTCACATTTAGATGAAGAAAGCCCCGAGTCCTCCACGTACGCTGCGGCTCTTCCCAGAGACAGGCTCCGGCCACGGCCCAAGGTCTTTCTCTGCTACTCCAGTAAAGATGGCCAGAATCACATGAATGTGGTCCAGTGTTTCGCCCACTTCCTCCAGGATTTCTGTGGCTGTGAGGTGCGGAATCCGGTTTCTTCTCTTACCCTGGGCAGGATATGAGTTCCATATTCCTCTCCAGTGCTTTCTGGAAACCTGTCTTCACCCAGTGCCTTACTTTCCAAACCAGAGCCAGTCTGAGTTTGTTCTGTCTGATATTAGCAGCAAATGTTTCATACGACACATTCTTGCTTGAAACCCTTGAGTGGCGTGCACACGGTAGGACATTTTGCAAGTGCTGAAAAAGGGTGCACTGCCATGGAACATGCGACAGACATGAGATGTCACCTGATGGCATGGTGAGCACCTGCAGAATCAGAGCCTCGGTGGAGCATCAGGAGAGAATGGCTAAAAGCGAGAGAGAGAGAAGAAGAAGAAAAATTTTTAGGAGCTTAGCATTCTCTGAAGGAGTTTTGCTGGCAGTAGAGGCCGGGACTGCCCTGGAAGGGATCTTGGGGACTGGGTTGACTGGTGTGAGAAGGCGGTGTTTAGAGAGAACCAGGAAGTAATTTACCAAGTATTTGCATGTCTGTGCTGATTTCTTAGCTCTCTCTTCTCCTCTTTCCCCTCCCTTTCCTCCTCCTCTTCCTCCTCTGCATCCTCCTTTTCTGGTTTTTCTCACTATGTAGCTCTGGCTGTTCTGGAATTCCATGTGTAGACCAGGCTGACCTCTAATTCCCAGAGATCATGGCTTCTCTCTCTCAAGTGCGGGCATTAAAAGCTTACGCACCCATGCCCAGCTTTTTTTTTTTTTTTTCTCTTTTTAGCTGTTAACATGTAGCTTTTCTGTAGACAGTGATGCTTAACTTTTAGAGTATAGTCTGAAGCTATTGTGGAAGGCACACCCTATTTGTCAGAAGAGCAATTATCGTGGGACATTTCCTAGCTCCTTGTCTTTGAACTGCTAGTTGACCCTTTCTTTGATGGGAGCGCCCTCTGGTGTTAACAAGATGTATTTACAAGCTGGTGGGATTTCCTCCTGTGGGGCCTTGGGTCTAGCAGGTGCACAGAGAAACACTGCCACTGTAGCCTGTGGCCTGACGTGTTGGAATAGCACAGGCACAAGTGGTGTGTTTGTACCATGTCCTTTTGTACGTAGATGAAGTTGCACATAAAGTTTTTTTTAATAGCTACAACATCATGCATGATAATTATTTACCATAGCAGAGTTAGTCCAGATTGTTAAACTTCTTAGTTCTTGGCCCATTTCTGACGATTTCTCGATCATCAGAATATCTCACATTGCAATTGTGCTCAGTCAGAGATAGGAATATATATTTTTAAAAACACTTTATGATGAAATCAGCTCTGTACAGAGTCTTTACAGTTTTGTAAAATATGCCACACATGATTTAGCAAAATACACAGACCAAAAGACTAGTAGGATGGCCTTTGTTGCTATGGAAACAGATTTTTACCATACCCAGTTAGCTTGAGTGTGTGGAATGCCAGTGAAGCTTGAGATGATTTAGTAGCTTTTTCAGCAGATGGTAGATTGGGACTTTCTTCTCTTGGGTACCATTTTAGAACAGGAGAATGAAATCCTTCCAGAATGCCCTTCCCCTGTATAATTCATGTTTAGCTGCTGGGAATTTTTGAACTACAGGAGCCATGTGTCAGTAAAGTTGCCAAGGAATGCAACTTACATTACGGTAGTTTGAAAGGTAAATTCCTTCGAAAGGATTGGACACGCTTGGTTTTCTTCCCTGTATCAGGGATTCCACTACTCTCTTGACTCTCTTAACCCAAACCCTCATGACTCACAGGCCTTGTGGAGCTACAGCACCACAAGATTTTCATAGATTTCTATGAAACTGTTAAGAAAGGCACTTAACCCAGACAGGGTGAACCAGGAAAGCCATACTACAGCAGAGGAACAGTGTAACCCTGGGTCTACGAACCTGGCCACAGAGGTCCTCTGCCCTTGTGGATAGCGATGGCACCAGGTCCTAGCCCCATTTCCCAGCACATTCTGGGGTCATTATCCACATCCTCTGCTCAGGCCTCTTAGCCTTGTCCCTAGAATCTTTCCTCTCCTTATATCCTAAAGCCTCACTCATTGTTTACACCGTTCTCTTTCCTCCTTATTCTGAGTGCTCTGTCATGCTGTGGGTTCCATGAGGACATTCTCGGTTCCATTAGACAAGTTGCAGAAAACCCTGACTTCTCTCTCTTCACATATCAGGCAGCAGTGCTAATGACCCGACATGTTACCAGGTGATGTCATGGGTGGCACGCACTTCAGGAAGTCTGGTGTGTGCACGCAGTGGCTAACCGCAGTGCTCCAGCTGTTCCTCTGTGCGCACGCACCGGTAACCCGGAACCTGCACATATCCCTGCTAATAATGGCTGAGGGGCAGGTGATGGGACCTCACTCACTGGGTTATTCCAGTCTTCTCTCTGGGAAGTGGTCGGTGTGAACACGTGGCGAGGTGACCTGTCCTCTTTGCAGGTGGCACTGGACCTCTGGGAGGATTTCAGCCTCTGCAGAGAAGGGCAGAGAGAATGGGTCACTCAGAAGATCCACGAGTCTCAGTTCATCATTGTTGTGTGCTCCAAAGGCATGAAGTACTTTGTGGACAAGAAGAACTACAAACACAAAGGAGGCAGTCGAGGCGGCGGGCAAGGGGAGCTCTTTGTGGTAGCTGTGACAGCCATTGCAGAAAAGCTTCGTCAGGCCAAGCAGAGCTCACCCGCAGCGCTGAGCAAGTTTATCGCCGTCTACTTTGATTACTCCTGTGAAGGGGATGTCCCCTGCATCCTGGACCTGAGCACCAAGTACAAGCTCATGGACAACCTTCCTGAGCTGTGTTCTCATCTGCACTCAGGAGAGCACAGCCTTCAGGGGCTGGGTCAGCCAGGGCCTAGCAGCAGGAGGAACTACTTCCGGAGCAAATCTGGCCGCTCCTTGTATGTAGCCATTTGCAGCATGCACCAGTTTATTGATGAGGAGCCCGACTGGTTCGAGAAGCAATTTATGCCCTTCCATCCTCCCGCTGTGTGCCGCCGGGAGCCAGTCCTGGAGAAGTTTGACTCAGGTTTGGTTTTAAATGATGGCGTAAGCAAACCAGGGCCAGAGAGTGACTTCTGTCTGACAGCCGAGGCTTCTCTACTTGGGGCCACCAGGCCAGCTGACTCATACCCACACCTGGAAAGTCAGCGTGGAGGCCTGAACCAAGACACTGAGACCCAGCCCACCTGTGAGAGTGGCCCTGCCTTGCAGCCCTTGTTGCATGCGGTCAAAGCTGGCATTTCCTCGGATATGCCACGGGACTCGGGCATATATGATTCCTCTGTGCCCTCGTCAGAGTTGTCTCTGCCTCTGATGGAGGGACTGTCTCCTGACCAGATGGAGACATCTTCTCTGACCGGGAGTGTATCTTCTTCCTCTGGTCTAGGTAAGATGCCCTGGAACTGGGCTCTCATCCTCATTTTGTCTGTTTGTCCGTCTGTCCGTCCATCCATCCATCCATCCATCCATCCATCCATCCATCCATCCACCCATCCATCCATCTGAGCCCTCATTCTTTCTGTCTACCTATTATCTGTCTGTCTGTCTGTCTGTCTGTCTGTCTGTCTATCTATCTATCTATCTATCTATCTATCTATCTATCTATCTATCTATCTATCTATCTATCTATCTATCTATCATCTCTACCTACCTACCTAGCTACCTGCCTACCTACCTACCTGTCTGGGACTGGGCCCTCATTCTGTTTGTCTGTCCATCCGTCCATCCATCCGCCAACCCATCCATCTACCACCCACCTGTTATCTATTTATTTACTGAGTTTTTGTTTGTTTTGTTTTGTTTTTTGAGACACGGTTGCAACTCTGGCTGTCCTGAAACTCACTATGTAAACCAGGCTGGCCCCAAACTCACAGAGATCCTGAGGCCTGGGGTTGAAGGCGTGTACCACTATGCCTGTCTAGGGATTGGACTCTTGATATAGGCCATACAGCCTTTGGACACACTTTTGAAAGCCATCAAAGCTTTTTCCCAATTTGGGTACCCTATGGGACAGTGAAACCTAATAAGAAATAACATAATTCCTCTGATAGTCTTGATTTACTCCAGGTAATGAGAATATTGGACTGTAGAAATGATGGTGGTAGTTATGGTGAGCTGCTCAGACCCCTCCACCAGTGTTACACATACGTGATATTGTCTTTAAAAAGCCATGTTTATTTTCTGTGTGTGTACACACGGGGTGGGGGTGGGGGGGAGGCGTGTGCCATGGTGCAGATGTGGAGATCAAAGGATACCTTGTGGAAGTAGATTCCCTCCCTTTGTGTGGGTTCCATTGTGTAAACTCGGGTTGCTGGGCTGGGTGGTGTCTCCTGACTCTGAGCCATCTCACCTTCCCTGCATTGCCTTTCTGTACTTGGAAAAGACCGGAATACCAAACGCATGCACTGGGCAGGATGTGTGTCTTTACTGGGACCCGCAGCACGTGCTATCCTTCTCCCAAAGCCCTGATGTAAGTTCATGAGTGCAGTATTCTCCATCCTAGCTTTACATAGCGCTCTGGGTGGAGGCAGGGCTCTTCCCCAGAGAGCCTCAGGAATCTGTGACACCTATAACTTTTTAGAGTCACACACACAAAACTTCGGCCCTGAAGGAAGGCTCTTCTTTCCTCTCCTAAGGTAACTAGATCCTGCTAAGGGGATGAGAGTGTTGATCTGAGTGGTTCTGATGCTGCCTTATTGGTACAGAGTACAAGAGTGAGTCCCAGCCATGCCGTGTCGTGGGGATCTGGACCAGTGAAATGCACTAACTGTGGCTCTGTCCTTCCTTCTCTCCCTAGGTGAGGAGGATTCCCCTACCCTCCCTTCCAAGCTCCTTGCCTCTGGGGTGTGCAAAACAGAGCGTGTTTGCCACAGCTACACTGATGAACTCCAAGCAGTTGCCCCTTTGTAAGGACATGGAAGAGTCTGAGCATCGCCACTTTAATTGCTGCTTGCTCTGGTTGCCCAGCTCACCTCTGGGGTTGTGCGGCCACTTGGAGCTGAAGATTCACACAAGGATATTCGGAGTGAAATTGGGGCCAATCCTTGATCCTTTCTGCTCCAGCCTGAGTCTCCGATTTCCCAGAAGCATATGGTGCTCTGCAAGACACTTCCTTTAGACCAGGCAGCAGCTGGCTGTGTGAGGCCGGTCCTCGGATTGGAGCCCACTCTGGGAGGTGGGGGGAAGCAGGTAAAGAGAAGTAGGAAGCACCAACACTTCTGTTCCCTTTCGGCTACTTTGATTCAAAATGCTTTGTGGAAAGAGCACTTTGAACATCATTTCAGCTACATATGTCAACCAAGTACTGTCTGGGACCCGATTGTGCTGCAAGTGGTGTTTCCATTCAGTTTCGGTGTGAAACTTAACACTGTCCCACGTGTTGAGTAAATTTTGAGTCAAATGTCCAGATAATGGCTGAATGTCTACCCAGCCACATTTCCACATTTCATGAAAAACTTTCTCTGTATTACTGGGAAACATGGCTGACCAGGATGGAATCCAATGGAGCAGGTTGACCATCTTGATCATCGTATGTGAAGAAGATGCCAGAACCTGGGCATCTTCCCTGGGACTAAGTAGCCATCGTGTGGGGATCACAGCTGTCTGTTTAGTTTCTCTGGGTTATGCTTACTGCTCTGTAGCTCGGGCGATGATGGCTGGAAATAAGGACGATTACCCAGCTGGACAACGTTATTGGAAGTTGTAGTTTGTGCTTTGGCTAGTGCTCTGTGTTCTGAATGTTAGAGGTCAAAATCTCCTAAAATACAACAGCGTGTGGGTGGTGGCTAGTAAATCTGCTGACGTGACAAACCTCCTTTGTAGAAAGCAGAAAGGAGGGGATTGTTACAAAAGTAAATGTATTTTTCTGAACGACTCTTGTACAGAAGTTGTTTCCAAAGACAAAACATCTCTCCACATGCTCTTTATGAATTAGGTGTATATAGTGATGCATCTGTGTCTACAGAAAACCTCATCCTCTTGCCCTGGCGCACTTGGTGTACGCGTCCTTCTCCACTGTTATCGTCAGGGATGTTGGATGTTGGCAGTCTGTTTTCTCAGTGTTCTACTGGGAACTGTGAAGGATTTTCCCTTTCCTTAACCAGATAGGATCAACCTTAAGGAGGATTTCTAAGAAAGACCCCACGGCCGGGTGGGCGGGAGATGAGCAAGTCTTTCCCTTCTAGGAGATGTTTAGTGGGATGGGAAGGGAAGCCTTGGCTCCTACTGAGAAGTGGTCTGTGTGTGTTTTGGATGGAAGATTCCCCGTGCTCTGTACAAGCGACTGGCAGCTGTTCTGGGTGAGCTGTGAGGCGGTCTCACCGGAAAACCAGGGCTCTGAGCAGAGGAGTTCATTCCATATTGTCACTGTGGATTCCAGACCAAGCAGACAGAGCTCCCAGCTCCACGGGGCTCCCCTGACCAGACTCAGTCTTGGCATTCATTCTCTGAAGGAGATCAGTGGGCCTAAATTGCTAACGTATGACCATTTACTGGGAACATCATTAGAGAGGCTTTTTTTTTTTCTTTTCAGACTGAGGCCAAGAAATATTTTATGCCCTACAAAGAGCCCAGCCCCCTTCTCCAAGAAACCACTTTTAGCACAGATACTCAGCTTTGGATAGGGAATGTGGGACCCCTGAGACTGCCTAGGGGGGCAGCATGAGGCTTTAGGCACAGGGCTAAGCAAGGCCCAGGTGGAAAGCTCACTGGTGAGGACACTGTATGAGCTGCTGCCTAATGTGCTAGTCTGAAAGGCTAGGATCATCAGGGAATGTTTCGGTTTGGATTTAGTGATTGGATGCTTTTATTTTGAACTACAACTATTTCTGACCAGGAGACTCGGATTCTAATGTGCCAAGTGATGAAGCTAAGGTTGCTTAACTCAGGATAAGACAGACAGTGGGCAATGAAGGGAAATTTTGTTAGCCCCCGTTCCCCTCCATCTCATCACTTGAGCTAGGGATGAGAATGGCCGTGCAGATGGAGGCAAAGTGTCTGTTCTCGACAGAGCTGCAGTTTTTGACTCAAAATTGTCCCATGAAGTAAGACAGTAAGATGGAGTCAGAGAAAGGTTCTGACAAGGCACAGGCTCTTTGGTGTTGTGGGGAAACAAGAGGAGGCTGGGTCTGAACATGGGTAAGGAAAGGGTGTCCGTTGGAAACGAGGCTAGGGTGAGACCAGGGCACCAGGAAGCCACAGATGATGAAGTAGTTGTTGACCTGTATCTAAGGGTGTCCCACAAGTTCATCTGATGCTGAGAAACCTCGCTACGGGGTGTGTGCTCTGAGCAGTTGGAGGCAAGTAACAGGAACCACATCAATGGGCTACATGGATGCAGAGACCTGGGGCTTTGGGGCACATGGATTTTTAAAAAGAGAAGTCATCCTTGCCCAGGCCCAGGGATTCAGATGGGAAGTAGGCAGGTAATAGAGTATTCTGAGTCAAAAATGAGACTGGGCCTTAAAGTTATGATCTGAAGGTTTTGAATAGCAGGCAAGTGCTAACTGAAGTCAGTCCTGGGCCAGAAGCCTAAAGCTGTCTTTAGAGATGATGAGGTCACTGGAGTCAGCTCGCAGGAAGGTATAGGTTCCAGTTCACGTGGGATTGAAGTTCAGACTTCCACGTCATAGCCATGTGATTGCTTTTGTTACTGATTTTCTTGACAGCCTCTAATGTTAGGTCCTCTAACTTTTATGTAAGATAGGAAACTGTCCCCTCCAAACTATGGGGTTCCAGGTTGTGGGAGTTTTTCACAAGGAGGAGGGACACTGTCTTATTCCTGAAGGAGAAAGAAAGGGAAACATGAAATCCCTAACTACCTCAACACAAGAGAGAACATTCTGCCTTTATTGGGAAAAGGTAGGCAATGCCAAAGTGAAGGTTTCTCGTCTTTTTCTTCTGTCTTCCTTGTTGGGATTGACTGCTCACAGCTGGCAGAGTCTGTGCTTCCTGGGGCACCGGCATACTCGGGCGTGAGGAAAGCGGCAATGGCGCCCCCTCGCAGAGAGACAGTAGGCCATGGTGGCAGCTGGAGCAAACAGAGGCACCCCTGTCCAACCTCCAGGAGCAAGGAACATTCTAGATGAGTGTCTCTGTGCAGTGTTACCTGGTTTTCCCAGTTTTCGAGAAAACCTGATAATTTCTGATTTTTAAGCTATTAATGTCAAGCACTGGCAAGCCCAGCAACCCAAGTTTAGTTCTGTGAACCCACCCTCTTCTGAAAATTGTCTTCTTTCACTTCCTCATGATGGCTGTGTCACTTACAGATACTCACAGATTGCACACGTGTGTGCATGCATGTGTGGGTGTGCACACGTGTGCCTGTGCACGCGTATGCACTAAATTAAAAAAGAAATAAGTCAAACATTGGCAATTAAACTTCAGGAACTACTAAAGTGAATTCAGGACCAATAGAGCATGTGGACGGATCTAATTTCACAGTAACTGCCAGGTTGTGGCTTCTGCTTTGTAAGATGTGAAATAAACCATCTACAGTAATTGCAAATGTGTGGGCCTTGGGAAAAGCTGCTGCTAGCCCTGTCCTTCAGGAAAGCTAATGCGATCCTGCCCATGTAGCCCAGGCTGGCTGTGAACTCCTGATGCCTCTCTCTCGGGCATGCACCCACAGCCTCCATATGATTCTGGATGCATTTGACATGTTTTGATTGTGTCTTTTCATGTCTCAAGAGAAGGGCAGCTCAGCTCTTGATTTCAAATTCAGATTTATACTGTCCTGCCTTTGAAAGCAGGCAACAGTTGCATTTAAATCCCTGGACTTTGGGGGCCTTATTTATAGTTTTAGTTGTAATCATGTTTTTATGTGGGGGGCAGTTCTGAGCTTATGCCCAGAAACTTATTTGGGGAGTATAGCAAAAACTCTCCTAGAGCGCCCCCACACTGGGCGTTGGAATTGCCCTTTTTCTGCAGCCTAGGACTCTTGGAGGTTTATATAGGAAATGGAGAGAAGCATTTCCTGTTGTTGAGATGCCAGGTGACCGTTTGGCCACCCTTGTCATAACACCACTTTTCCAGATCCAAGGGTGAAAGTTAGCAAAAGCAGTCTGGCTGTAAGCGGTTAGCTCCGGTTCTGGTTTCAGAATTTGAGGGTGAGAAGAGAGAGGCTTAGATCACCCAGCACGTTCCCTCTGTCTGCTCAAGACAGCTGAGCTGTTCCAGACGCAAGGCTGTGGCTGAGAGTCTGGCTCTAAAGGGAAGGAGATCCTGTAACCTCCCTGCTGATCAGATAGTTCTTGGTATGAATTTCTTGCAGAAATTCAAGCCAGCTTTCCTTTGTTTACGGTGTAGAGGAGAAAGAACAGCTGGTCACCTTCCCAGTACTGAAAGCCACAGTGAAGTCACCCCCCGGTGTTTCTTCAGTGGGGAATAATCCCGCCCACCCAAAGACTTTCACAGCTCTTCTCCAGGGGCTCCCCCGGTCCTGCCCTTCTCAGCCCTTCTCTGCTTCACCTCAGTGTTGTTCCCCCAACGACGCCAGTGCCTTGTTCTCATGGGTGCCGTCTGTCAGCCATACCTCAGTTAGGATTACAGGGAAATCTGCGGCCTGGCTGCTCTCACCACGGAAAAAATAGCATGGCACTTTAAAAACCTGTCATATCACTGACATGCATTCAGAGGGTTATGACCACTGCTGCTTGTTCTCTCGGTGGTAGGCCTTGCTCCGGATTGTAGCTTCTTTGCTCCTGCAGGCAGTTGGTGCTTATTCCTGTTGTATTTAGCGTCTTCCTTTAATCTGAAGACACCCTTCAAGGCCAGCCTTACCTTCAGAGTGGCAGCTACCCCACACTCCAATTTTGGGTTCTGCTTTTACCTATCTCTAGACTTGACCTTTGTTTTGTGTGTCATATTATTGTTTAAATGGTGTACACTACAGCAGAACCTCTGGCAAGGTAAGACCTGGGGTTTGCTAAGTGCCACCTTCTCATTGCTGATGGGAACCAATCTACCAACCCCTTTGAATGCCTCAGGGAGGGCCTCTGGGGAGTTTTGGCCAATTGTTTTCCACCCCTTGGATCATCCTTGGTATTCACCCAGGACCACAGACACCAGGGCAGTATCTCTCAGTTGAGCAGGCACAGTGGATGATACAGTCAGAAGCAATCATTCCAACTACACAGCTTATATTTCTATCATAGAATCCGGCAGAAAGAGTCAAGGAGCAGCCGTCCGTGACTGCCACCGGATTATACGCAATGTGCTCATCTGTTATTTTAAAACATTTCTCTCCCTCTCAAAGAAGCATGTCAAGTTTGGACAGCAGCGAAAAATTCCATACAAATATAAAATGTTCATTTTGAGAGTAACTTGAATTCTTGTTATCCGTTTAGAAAACAAATATTTTTGCTGTCGAAGCTCCCATGTTGAGGAGGAAGGCCTGCAGGCATGGTGGCGACTGGTGCCTTTGTTTGTGTTGTCCTTTAAGTTTCTTCTTTGTGGGATTTGGCGGAGAGTGAGCACTGCCAGCCTGTGTCTGCGGGCCGTGTTTTTACATTGGAGATATTGGTGGTGTATTTGTACAAAACTCTAAATAGATGGTAGTCAGTCATGGCTGACATTTGTAAGATGTTTTTGTGCCTTAGAATTCCTGCGTCAAATAAAATGTTTTGTCGAACGCCTGCCGTGGCTCCTTATTTTACAACATCTGTCCTGTTTCCTCCCTAGCTTGGGCTCCTCACTGTTGGCAGAGGAGGTGAGGAGGGCTTGCACCCCAGCACCCTGCTCTGTCAGGCTACTGCTTGGTACTCGTCACCTCCCGGTCAGTTCGGAGCTCTGCTGCAAGTGCTGCAACCCTGTGATTAGGAGACCCGGACCCCCAGTTTCTGTCTATAGAATGGGCCCAAAGCCCTGCCTTAGGGGGTGGTGATAATGCTTGTACCCAAAGTGACAGGTATTCACAAGAGGGCAATGTTGGGTAAGGAAACAGTCAAAATTTGCATTCTTGTGAATGTCAGGGTCAGAAATCCAGGTTCCACGTGTGTTCCTTCTTGTCTGCTCTGGTTCTGTTAGGTACCCAGAGCGTGTAGCTTGTGTTTTTGAGGGAAATGGAAGGAGTTAAAGCGAAGCTCTGGAGCAGTCTTAGTGGGCCACAGAGGAGGAAGCACCGCTTGCCTTGACATAAACATCCTCCTTCCTGTTCACTTTGTCCACTGATGTCTTCTTTTTCCGTCTCTGGAAAGTTCTCTCGAGAGTTGGAGCCAGGGCACTGAGTTCTTTATGGGTGTGGTGTCATTTACCTTACTGTTCCTCTCTGTAGTGGATCATCCTACTGTCCCCTTTTTACAGACAAGGAAACTGAGGCTCAAGCTCTTACTTATCGAATGAAAAACAGGTAAAAGGACTTGACTGCCCCTAAGGGTTGAGGTTTTTATTGTAGATATAAGGGAGCTCGCAGGCAGAGGCATACGGAGAAGTCTAGAGTGAACATGACTGGCAGACTGAGCAGGGCCATGAAAGAGAAGAGGGCAGAGGGAAGAGTCAAGAGGCCAGGAGCAAGCCGGGATACTAAGAGACAGAAAGGGTCAATAGCCCAAATGGCGCAGGTTATATAGAGGAGGGTAGCTGGGGGAAGGGTAGCCCAGTGGGCTGGAGAGTTCAGGGTAGGAAGTGGGGTGTGCCAGGTACTGGTGTCCCCTTGAATATATGAATAAGCACCTCAGCTGTTTGTACCAGGTTCGAGACCTAACACTCATAATTACACTCATAGTATAATAATAATAACATAATAACACTCATAGTACTGCTTAGGTCTAGCCAGCCAGAGGAAGGGAGACCTGAAGTTGTCTGTCAGATTGAGGAGGAAGTGACGTCTTGTCAGGAGACAGGTTCCTGGCAAGTGCTTGTGCCTTTCTCCCCGCCACCGACATCAACAGTCACCCTCAATAGCTTTGCTAAAGGCACAGTCCAGGGACTGAGACATCATCACATCTAGTTAACAGTTCGCAGCATCCCTGTTATTAACGGACAGGAAGGACCTTGAGTCATAATCAAAGTGGTGGTCCTTTCTCTCGGTGTACATATTAGGGGAAATCTTGTTCTCTTGGTCATCTTTTTACCTTGTTTCTGGACTCTCCGCTGTGAAGCCCCTGTGATCACATGATCACACTCACCCCAGACATGAGCAAAGGCAGAGGTTTGTTGCGATCAGAGATCTGACCGAACATGTGTTGACATACGTGTAGCATGTCAAGGACCCAGATGCCTCAGACCCATGGGAACGGCAGAACTTTACTCTGGTTTGTGTGGGGATCTTGACTCCGCAGAAAATGTGGACGGAAGCTCCCTCCCCCTGGATTGTTGATAGCCTGAGATGGCACCCCTACAGAGACGCCCTTACTGAGATTAGCCAAACCTCACTTTTTGTTAAGCGTTACACAATGAACCGGTTCCTTGTTCAGCTGTATTCAATAAACCTGCCTCCTCAGTTCAGATCTATAAAATACACATGTTGAGTTTGCAGAGTGCACAGCCCACCCGCCCCCAGCTTTTCTTTCTGTGTGTCTCACATTTCTTCATTGCCTGTCACCCCAGGTATGCCAGTCCCTAAGCTGTGCAGGTCACAGAAGGATCAGGAGTCCTCTGGGCCATCTTTCCCCTGTCACTGCACACTCCAGGGAGTGGGTAGAGGTTGGCATCAAGACAGACTGAGGCCAGGCCAAGAGGAACTTGGAATCAGAGAAGGGAGCATGCCTGGCCTTGAATGCAAGTTTGGGCAGGTTCTGTCCTGGTCTTAACTCCTGAGGTGAGGCACTTAGAGATCCTCTCCACTGGGTGAAATCGCAAGCTAGTAGTGCGGTTTTGTTACTACCGTGGAGAGTTGTGATTCAGGCTTTGGTCTCTGACATTCTGAGCTCAGAACTCAATCTGCTGATGTCTCTCTGACTCTAGGCAAGTGACCTGCCTATTTAGGCTTCGTTTCTCTAGCTGGAAAACCAAACAAGGCTGTTTTGAGGTTTAGACGTGCCAGGTGATTCTGGACATATAACCTGGCACACAGTGTCTGTGGACACGTGGTCACCAGCGGGCAGGGCAGGAGCAGTGAAGTTCCCCTCCAACGCCTTCCTCAGCCAGGGCCTGGCCTATAACCAAAGCAAACCTGTTCCATATTAGGTGTCTCAGTGTCGAAGGGTGGCTGGAAATGGCCTTTGGAGGAGGTCGGCCTGTGATTAGATGTTACTCTTTGTTCGAAACCAGTGGTGTTGGTGTGAATACCAAAGTTCTTACGTAGCCCTTTGCTGACCGTTCCCCTCTGTCTCCTCCAGAGCAGACACGTTCTCGACTCCGTATACCCATGTTCCTGCCCAGGGCCTTGCATGTGCTGGTCCTCTGTCTGAAACACCTTCTGTGTGTACCCCACCCTTGCAGTGATACCTTCTGCCACTACTGTCCACCATCCCTCTCGCCGAACACATCTTTAGTGAACTCAGCTTGTGTGAGCATGGGGTGGCCCTTTGTGCCTCTAGAATGTCCGTCCATGTGGGCCACATTGGTATTCTGCTTCAACCAGCTTGTGAACCCAGGCTCTCATCTCCTTGCCTCTTGGTATTGGCAGAGGGTAAACATGTCCCTGATTCATGGGTCCCTATAGAGCACTGGGAGGGGATTGCGTAGCGTGCGTGCGGCAGGTGCTCAGAGTGTTCTCTCACGTGAGCAGTTACTAATTGTAAACACGAAAGGTTTCCTGGGGAAGTAAACTATCTTTACAAAATTGCCTTCAGGGGGCTGGAGAGATGGCTCAGCCATTAAGAGCACTGACTGTTCTTCCCGAGGACCCGGGTTCAATTCCCAGCACCCACATGGCAGCTCATAACTGTCTGAAAATCCAGTTCCAGGGGATCTGATACCTTCACACCGATGCACATAAAATAAAGTTAAATAAACCATAAAAAAATTAAAAAAAAATTGCCTTCAGGCTCCAGCCAGGAGTCCTAGAACTCAGAACCTGTGGAGGCCCCTACCCCAGTATTTCCTCCTGAATGGCTGGTATTGTCTCCTGGTTTCTTTCTGGCAGTGGGGTTCTGTGCAGATTGGACAACAGGTTCCACACGAGCTCTAGCCACATGACCCAGGTGTTGGGTACCTGTTACTGTGCCAAGCGGCATGCCACTCTTGAGTGATCCTGGCCCTCCCAGCAGGCTCTGGGGTTTACGTGATGTGCAGCCTCTAGGATAAGAGTCAAGCCCAGGTGTTTCCTACGCACGGCTTTGGCAGTCCACCAGATGCTCAGCTATGTTTCCTCTAACCCAGGTGAGCAGCAAGGAGTTGTGTGCCCAGAAGTCTTCCCATGGCTCCTTTCAGAGGTTTCTTTGACTTGAACAGTAAGACCAAGACTTTATTCCTCTTGCAGGCCTTGCCATTCCTCAGGTGGGGATGACATCATACTGTGTTGTTGTACCATCAGGCTGCACCATGATTTTCAAACGCTGGAAACAAGCATAGGAAGTATCTGTGTAGGGTGTGACTACAGGCATGGGATTGTCTCTTCCAGGAATCTCATTTTCCATTAATAGGGTCTCTCTCTCTCTCTCTCTCTCCCTCCCTTCCTCCTTCCCTCCCTCCCTCCCTCCCCCCTGTGTGTGTGTGTGTGTGTGTGTGTGTGTGTGTGTGTGTGTTTGAGACAGGGTCTCTTGTAGTTTTCATTGGCTCCAAACGCATAAGTAGCTCAGGAGGCCTGCCTTGCACTCCTGCTCCCCAGTGCTGGGATTATAGGTGTGAACCAATGTGTGTAGATCTCACTTTTAGGGCTTTATATTTGTGAAGTAACTAGAAATAAGGGTCAAAGTTTATTCCGCAAAGGTTCTCATCACCAAACATTATCTTGATAGCAAGGATGAGGGACAAAGCCACCGCTGGACCTGAGTATAAAACGGCACATGCTCACTACAGGCCAAGGACCGTGTTGTAGCAGAACAGCCTGTGTGGCCTGGAAATGTGACTCAGCAGAACAGCACATGCCTGCTTCACGTGGGCCTTGGGTTGCAGCTCAGGTGCAAAATAGCTGCAAAGCGTTCACAGCAAAGGAAGAGACTGACAAGTGAGAAAATGAAAAATACCCTCGCCAGCAGTGGTCACCTCTTGGTAGGGCTGTGTGGCAGGTCTCCGTGTAGTTGTAGTCTGGCTGTTCTGGAACTCACTCTGTAGACCAAGCTGACCTCAAACTCACAGAGACCCCCTCCTGTCTCTGCACCACCATGCCTAGCTCCTTCCTCTGTCAGTTTCTGAAGGCTAGATAAGCCAGTGTATTCTCTGCCTGGTGTTTGCCCCACTCCAGAGGAACCAAGTTCCACGCCCTCCATCCACCATCCTCAGGGCCTAGCAGGACATGAGGGGAAGCTGTATGGTAAACTCTTGTGGGAGCCAGGCCTGGTGGCACAGGTCTTGGCAATGCCTACACTCCGGAGCCTGAAGCAGGACAGTTATGAGTTCAAGGATTGTGTAAGTAACTTCACGAGACCTTGTCTCAAAACAGAAGGGACTGGAGCTGAAGCTCCGTGGTAGAGCACTTGAGCACGTGGAAAGCCTGGAGCTCCCGGCGCTGTAAATTCAGTGGGGCAATTTCACGTCTTGCTGTTCTTATGAATGCTACTTGCAGATGTGATTCATGTTCTCAGTATCCTGA